AAAAAGTTCAGAGTCATTAATTTGATGCCGATTACAAATTTTCTAAAATCAATTAACGTGAGAGTTTGCAAACAATTTCTATATTGATATTTTCAGGTTTTAAGTTTGAAAATTTCATAGTATGTATTGTCATATTTAACATAGAAAATAAAATATTTATGTTCAATATAAAGAGTATACAGTAAACGTATCAATAATACTGAAATTTGACTTCAGCGGGCACTGGGACACAGAAAGTCCTTAAGATGCCATTAGAGAAAATTGGTATTTATGAATCAAAATTTTCTTTTTTTTAAATTTAAGAAATGTTTTAGAAATGGCTTTGAAAATAAATAACAAATTCCTATTTATGAATTAAAATTGTTCTTCTTGAATTTTAGAAATGTTTGGGGTATGTTGTTGCTTTCCAAAATTCTATGCGGGCATTACGCAAAAACGGGTAAAATGTAAAATCCCATGTGGAAATTTTTAATAGGGATATGGAAAAATTATACCATACGGTTTTACATAGGAATCAATATGGTTTCCTTTATAAAAGTGGATCCCATGTAGATTTCCCATGTGGGAATCAAAAACGTGTTATAATTTCTACTAATACATTTAACAGAGTGTCTATTAATCGCAAAGGTATCCCGAGAAATAGCCGGGAATTTAATTCGACTAGAAAAATCTGGAATTTTCTTATCTAATTAAAAAAAGTTTTATTATATTAATTCATTTTTAAAAAATTGTTTTTGCTTTAATTTCTATTGATGTAATATTTTTATTTGTCAAAATTTAAGACCTACTTTCAGATTACAATATAGGTTTTATTTTTGATTTTAGCAGTCGTAACGTGGGGTCTACTTGCGATACAATTAGTTCGAATTAGACTCTTATATAACTCCAAAAGCTGGTGGAAAATTAGTATTAATTATTAATGCATTAATTAAAATACTACGAACGCATAAAGTACTACAAATTGACAAATACTGTTCTGTAAATCTGAATTAGTTGAAAATACTATTTGATAGAAAAAGTCATTTACTGATTCCAATGGTAATATTTTGATAATGAAATAGTTAATGGTAACTAATTATTAGTTTTTCCCAGTCAAATTAAATTCCCAATTGGTAGACACCTGTTCAAATATATTAGTAGAAACTAAAACCCGTCGAAGACGGGTACGACAGCTAGTATGTATATATGTGCATTACCGTATGTGACAAATAGCATGACCATGGTTTTTGACATTTTACTCAAAAACTATATTTTTAAAAAATTTGGAAAAAATATATGTTAAGGGCGACATTATAAGGTACTTTTTACAACAAAAGAGAAAGTAGTCACTTCAAAAAATAACCCTAAAAAAAAATTTTGAAAATTAAAAAAAAATTTTTTGAAAATTTTTTTTGAAACAAAAATTTTGATTTTTTTTTTCTAAAATCGTCTTATCTATATTTACAACATCTTAAAATTTCATTAAAATCGGTTCAGTAGTTTTCGAGAAAAATAAGTTTTTTGATTTTGCTTTCCCCCTCCATAACTCCCCCAAAAAAGCGAATTTTGAGTTCAAAATTGCAGAAAGTTATAGTCATATGGATAGTAATATATGAGCCAAATTTGAGAAAAATAGATGCGGGGGCAGTTTTTGCACACTTAACCCCCTAAGCCCTTTATTTTTGTTTAGTTATCCTAATACCTTTAAAAACATTCCTGCAAAATATTATAATTTTTTAAAATTAGTTGGCGACGACTTTAGTCGAAATATAATGGAACGACTCATTTGATATTGCAATTTTCATTAAATTACATTAATCTATAAAAGGAACAACAATATATAGATTACGCCTAAAGGGACCCAGGAGGAAAAGTCGGACGAATGTCGGAGTTTACAACCGCCTGGGATCCGCGCCCGTGCGGACCGCCAGTACCGATGTTTTGTACCGATTCGGATCCCAAAATTCAACCGACGCGGAACAGATTAGGCTCAGAATTTTGGATCCGCCTTTCTACTTTCGTCAGTACTGGCGTGGTACTGGATTTGTTCCGCCTGCGGATTTCATTCTTCTACGGGCGTCGGAAGAATGACGGATGTTAGGTCTGTACTGGCTCGGTGCTGGGGCGGATCCGACTGCGGATCTCGTCATTTATTGTTATAGTTCACATTATCAGTATAATCATAAATTTATTTTATTATATATATCATAGCTAATTAATTATTACAATAACTAATTGCATTTATTATAATAATATTATTATTATTATTATTATTTAACCAATAAATAAATTAATTGTATTGATGCAAAGGAAGAATATAAGAAACTTAATTTTTTCATTATATTTATAAAAATCCAACTTTATTAATGTGCAATTAAATAAATAATTTTTAATAAATAATAATATTAACTTGAAAGAAAATGTGTTCAATATATAATAATACCTACAATAAATAACACATTATATAAATATATAAAAAACAGATTATTAATTAATTTATTTATTGTTAATTAATTAATAATCTGTTTTTAATTTAAACAATATATTAAGTAATTATTTATTGACACTTTTCTGCAAATTAAATAATTAAAAAAATGCGTTGTGCATTCAAATTTCATTCAATTATTAATAATTACGTAATAAAATATTAAAAAATATAATAATAAAATAACAATTTTAACAAGTTCCTTTTTAAACGAAATATTAAAATATTCATAAATACCGGTATAACATCAGTCCGTATTTGAAAATTGTTTATTGCCGCGTAGTAATTTTACAATTTTCATTTTAGCTAGTGAGACTTGAAAGCATTTAAGATTTGAGAGTTCCATGCGAGCGTAGCATAGTGGTTAGCGTGCGTGATTTCGGTGCGTAAATATTCGGTTAGGCGTAGGTTCGTACCCCCAAGCGTTAGGATTTTTCAAATGTGTATGTAATAAAAAATTGCGTTCAAGTGTATAAAAAAATAAAAAAAATGTGTAAAGTGAACTGTCAATGAATTGTCATCAGTATTTATCTTTTGCAATTAATTATTATTTTTTTATTGATATTTGTTGAAATTATCATTTTGATCCGAGCCGGTTGTCAGGCGGTAGAATGCCAGCATTGCCAGCGCACATCTGGCTAGGAAATGAAAGATCCGCAGTCGGTACAGTGCCGGGTCCCAGCCGGTTGAATTATACACGGAACGGCTCTTCGCGGCCGGTTACCGCGCGGTAGAATGCCAGTTCCGAGACGGATGGCCAGCCAGCTCCTGGCCAAGTCATCTTTTGGTAGAATACCAGTTCTCGGGCGGTAGGCAGGCGGTTCCCAGCCAGTACCACTACTCCGGCGTCGGTACAGGCGAGGATCCGCGCCGGTTGGAAATTTCCCACTGGGGAATACCTCATTTTTTTAATATTTTTTTTAAAAGCGCTTAAAAAACTTGGCATCGTCTACTTAACGATCGGAATCCGTATTCAGTTAAAAAGGTTACAAAATTTATTACTGAAATATTATATAATGTAACACTTAATTAAGGCAAATATTTTTGATAAAACAATTAGATTAAGAAATATGTATCAAACTTCTTTTTATGGGTTTAAACCCTATAACAAATAACAAATAAATGAATAAATTATTTAATAAAAAAATTAATTATTTATTTTCCAATAAAATATTATTAGAATTTAATAGATACTCTACAATATTTCATATTGAACATTTTTTGTAACTATCATAGATTTCGAAATAAAAATTTTTTAAAAAAATTACTTGAAAGTTTTAATAACAAAAACTTGCAAAATAATCGAAATTTTGCAAACTTATTTTCACAACTTATGTATTAACTTATGTTAATTTGCCATTTTGACAACAAAATGGCAAATTATGAAGAAAATCTAAGATTCAAAGTTTGCCCTGTGCATGGAACGTCCCAACTGCTAGTGCGGACCAACACTAACAATTTAAAACAACATTATAAAACTTCTTTTGAAAAATTCAAATTTTAATCTCAGAAAGCAATACTCGCTCTCTGTGTCAAGTATGTGTATGTGTGTATATATTGATACACATCTAATTGTATTTCTTTGATAATTGACTCTTTTGTTTTTATAATAAGTTTACTGACCCTCGATTATACATTAATATTTATAAATTTTGTCAGTCAACTTAAGCTGGTCGTGTTGATCGCACAAGTTTTTAAAAATTTAAATTATTTAACGGTAAATTTATATTTGTTAATTTATGTTTTATAATTTATTTTATGCTATTACAAATCTCATTTTAATATAAATTTTTCAGTTTTCTGATGAGGACAGCAGGGTTGTCGAAGAGTTAAAAATTGTGTTTTATTTTAATATTTGACTGGGAGGATTGATAATAATTTTCTGGATATTTTATATTATCTTTTACCTAGTGATAAATTCTACAACTATTTATTATAATTGAAGCTCCGGATCTTAAAAGGGCACTTTCAGCATTGATTTTAAATGGTAAAAGTGCCCTTTTAAGATCCGGATCCTCAATAATAAATAAAGATATTTATTTTGCTTTCTATATTAAGTACCTACATAAAACAAATATTGTTCGTAATTATTTGTATACACGTAGAGAGAATATCTATATTATATCAAATTTTGTAAAAGTATTTTACAATTTGAGGAAAAAGTGTAACAAAGCTCAATTTTTATATAAATAATACGAAACTTTAAAAAACTTATGTGAAATTTAGTAAAGTTCTATTCAAATTTAATTAATATTCTTGTTATTTAATATAACTATACTAAATTTCAATTAATGTTTTTAAAGTTTAGTATTTTTTATATCAAAATTTCTCTCTGTCGCATTTTTTTCTTAAATTGTAAAATACTTTGGATACCCAATACTTTTATAAAAATTAATACCTATATTTTCTCTCTCCGTGTATAAAGAAAAAAATGTATTTTTTAAAAGAAATAATTTATTTATATATTTGTATTTTCAGTCAATTTTTCTAATTTGATACCAAATTTATCATAAACCTTTTTCTCTGTTATTTTGAGGTGTCCATCGTTATTCACGCGGCAGCAACAACAAAATTTGATGAACCGTTGAAAGTAGCAGTGCCTATTAATGTTAACAGTGTTTTGGAAATAATTAAACTTTGCAGAGAATTAAAAAAATTAAAAGTGAGTTTCATTCACTTCTTCTTTTTTTTAACAAATAAAAAAAGAGAAAAATATTAATTAAAAAGATACAATCATTTTTTTCATTTCTTTTTAAGGTGGCTGTCTATGTATCGACTGCATTTATTCGTGACAATTCTTGCGCAATTGAAGAAAAAATATATCCATTGCCTATGACTCATGAGGAGGTGAACAATACTATTGAAATAATAAATCGAAGAAAATTATCGAAACGAGATGAGGAACAATTCACCAGACTGTAATAATATATTTTATATTAATTTTTAAAATGATTTATTTATAATAATATGTTTGTATAATATACACTGAAACCTCGGAACTTTATGCTTCCGAACATTAGACTGTGTCGACATCAAATATGTGCGAGGCTTTCATGCACCATACGGCCCTGAGTGTTTATACTTTTTGGAACATTCAATAGTAATCAATGAATTTTTGGAAGAAATTCGGGAACTGTATTAGAAAAAGCTATAACTGACCCTTGTAGAAATTAAGATTGGAGTTTGATGGGGTTCTAGTCAGAAGTCCCTATCTGTAGTGGGGAACTGATTAGGGAAAATAGTTGGAACCCAACTTCTTTCATAACGGTCGTCAGATCAGGTACTAGTCTAAAATATCTAGTCAGGAACTAGTTAGTAAAACTAGCTGCTACCCCATAAGTATAAAATAAGCGGATCCTCTTAGATTTCTAATAGTATTAATTATAACTATATATATCTAAATTAAAATTATATTAGTTTTAACTATATTTCGTGTAGAAAATTTGTTCGCTACTATCTTATCATTAACCTAACACGCACGCACAACACACTGCATTACACTGAGAAAAATAAAAGGTTAAATATAGTTATATAGTAGTTATATAGTATATAGTTTTAGTTAAAAACAACGGAGCGATGCTGCTAATATAGCACTTGCAATGTGAATTGTTTGCAGTAACCGATCGAAGACGATAAAAATTTCGCTTGAAACTAGTTAAGACTACTCGGTTACGGTAGCTTCTTTCTCTGTTACTGTAACTAACAGTTTATGATTAATGCTCCGTAAACGTTAGTTAACTTACTCGGTTACTGTAGCCACCTAAAAAGGCTACAGTAATAATATGAACTTGAATATTGTAGTCAATTAGCTCTGTTATAATAAAGAAACCGATTAATTAATTTTAAACCACCCAACTCGATTAAAATATTTTTTGATCAATAAAATATTCCCTTGATAAAAATTATTTTCTTTTATTGGAAAGAAATCTATTTGATTGAAAAATTATGTTCTAATTTAAAGATAACCAAAATTTTCTGTAAATTAAAATTCTTTTTTATAATCAAACAAATCTCTTTCAAATAGAGCTCTTTTATGTGCATCGTGTAATATGTCATCGGGGATGTACGGTTTAATGCGTTAAATATTCTCCGTTTTATTTTTATTTCTATGTATCTATTGTAGATGAATTCTATATTTGATGGCTGCTGTAACATAATCAATAAAAATTTGTATCGCGTCGGTAGAAATCAGAATTGTAACAACACGACTCTCCGGAAAAGACGAAACGAAGTGACTGACTGACTGTGACTGACGATATGTCGCCTAGATATGTTTACTCGGTTAAAATCTCACAACTCAACGTAATTACATGAAACTCAGTTAATATTAATCGCATAGTAATAGTTTATATTCAAAAAATAGATAGGTAACAACAACCACGAAAGTTTGTTTCCATTATGCACATTTCAGATTGGTTAAGACAATCCTTTGGAGGATTATTTTTAACAGATGTGTTTTAACCATCTCAGCCCGGTTGTGATAATCAGTATAACTTAGTTTCTTTTAACCATATCTTATTTATTTTTAAATATTTTTTTTTAACCGAGCTATTTCTACCACTCGGTTAAACGCAATTTTTCTCAGTGTACCGACGCGATACCAGACGTATTCCGAACCGCTCTTATATAAACTAACTTCTCACTTTTTCTGCGCTTGTATGAATAGTTATGAATTAATATTCTCTATTAATTAATCATTTTTCACAATATTTCATCTTTAAATATTACCTACTATTTCAGAGTACTTAAGGTCAATTTTTAAATTAACAAAGAATGTCATCATTAAATTAAAAAATCACACCAAAAAAAGATTAAAATAATCAATTTTGGTATTATTTTTTAATACGAATGAAAATTGACTTCGAATCAAACCAAGCTAACGATTTATCAAAGCGAGTCCAAGTCTAAGTAAGGTCTAAGTCAAGTCTAAGTCAAGTATAAGTCAAGTCAGGGTGTAAGTCTTAGTCTAAGACTTTCACTAAGAGTTTGAGAAAGACTCTGATTAAGACTTTGACTAAGACTAAGAATCTTAATAAATAAAGTATGTGACCTTCAAGGATGAGAAGTGGGAGAGAGAACAGAATCGATTTTTACTTTATGATGTGTAGAGTAGAAATTATATTATGAGAAGTAAATTCGAAGCTATTTTATGTGAAAAAATGAAATCTGTAGAAGGTGTCCAAGAGCGCTTCGAGTTCTTTTTAGCGCCATCGGCTATTTTTTCTTTTATCGTAGCAGCTCAAGATGGAAATGAAGGAACATTAATGTAGAAAGTCACTTATATGATGCAGGCATCGTAGATTAACAGTGGTTCCATTTTTCATGTTTCCACATTATAAAAGTTTAAATTTGTTTTTCTCGAAATGGCATTTTTCAAAACGGTGGGTAATCTAGCTAGAACAGTTTTAATCGGATTTACTTCGGCCAAAGTTCTTTTTGTTCGTCATTTACTAATGCTTTCGAGTACGTAGCTGATTTCTGCGTTAAAGATTAAAAGGTTTAACCAAAATCTTGCCCACCGATTTGCCCTGCAGAGAAACGAGACCAAGTTCGGCACCATCTATAGGCAACAAACTGAAAGTTTTTTTAAGTATAAATGAGGCATTCTTTCTCAAGTGGGCCACCCCTTCTCTTCAATTCAAATTTGATAAAAAAATCTTTTATAATAGCTTAAATTGAAGGTATAAATGTCAGCTTTTCAATGCAGTTGGGCCCTTTTTGAAATATTAATTTTCAAATGAACTATAGAGAATTTAACGACAGAAATCACTATGACCAATTCTTTTTCATGGTCAGCGATCCCAAGAACCCCTTTATGGTGAGTTCGAACAAAAAATATAAATTTTTTTAATTTTGGGCGCCATATTGGATTCGCCATCTTTAATTTGAGGAAATAATATGAAATTTTGTAATTTTCTCATATAATTTAATGTTTTAGGCCCTCTAGAATTTTGAAAATTGGGGTTCTCTTCGTTTTTTACCATGAAAAAGAATTGGTCATAGTGCTTTCTGTCGTTAAATTCTCTATAGTTAATTTGAAAATTAATATTTCAAAAAGGGCCCAACGGCATTGAAAAGCTGACATTTTTACCTTTAATTTAAGCTATTATAAAAGATTTTTTGATCACAACTTTCTTTGCCAATATTGCTTTTTATTACATAAACTTGAAAAAAAGATAAAAAAATGTATAAATGTTTATGAATATAAATTAATTGAAAAAAGCTAATATTTACTTTTCAGTTATTTATTTTTTATTTTTATTAAATTTAATATTAATAATTGAACCTAATTCTCAAATTTTTTGAATAATAAATTAATTAAACAAACTAAATTATAAACAAAATTTTAAATTTAATCTCAACAATAATTTGGTTCTTATTAAAAAATTATTATACTTCTTACTATGAATGAAAAATTACCACTGGTAAATGTTAAATGCAATAAGTGAAGTTATTTAATTTAATAATTAAAAGCTTAGTTTAATATATTTTATTTCAATTTATTATTTCTAACGAATTCCTAATTTTTTTTTATCTTTGATTCAATAATAGCAAGTCTCAATGATATTGAGAAATTAAAACTTTACACACGCGTCGTTAGCATAGTGGTTAGAGCGTTTGTCTATAAGTTCGTAGGTCGTATGTTCGATTCCCCTCGTCAGCAATTTTATTTATTTTTATAAGTTTGCGATATTTCTACATTCTAATATCATTAGGTAGGGGAATGGCTTGCAGGTTGCCCCACCTAAGCTTTTTTTCTCATAACTCATTAAAAAAAATAACAACATACCATCGGAAAGAGGACCTAAAAAGCTACAAATTTGACCCATAGATAGTTTAAATTGTCAATGAATGAAATTTTTACATCAAATATTATAAAAATGATGTAAAATCAACGTTTTGAAATTTAGGCTTGCATGTTGACCAACCTTGAATAATTGATAATAATATAGAAAACCTCAAATAAATTTATTAAATTTTACTTACATTTAATGTTTCTGAACATAGTAATTTAAATTTTTTAAACAATTTATTTATAAATAAAATTAAAAATAAAAAAAAATTTGAAAAATAAAAATTTGTTTTTTAATTGGCAGGTGGGGCAACCTGAAATTCGTAAAGTCAACCAGCAATTTTGAACTTTATTTTTGAATCGATGAAGAAAAATATTAATTTATGATATTTTAAAAATCCTTCTCGGATTATCAAAATTGATTAAAAAACAACTCAGAAAAAATTGTAGCTTATATTATCTATAAAAATATTTCATTTGTTAGTACATGAAAAAGTCACAATTTTAATTTTCCAATTTTTCCACAAGTCAATTTCAGAAATTGCTTAATGTCAGAGCGAACATAAAGATATTTTCAAGTTTAGAATATCGCCATTCCTTGAGAAAACCAATGATGTGAATTGCTTCTTTGGAAGTAGAGTTGCATTTCAGCGAGAATTTTGAGAATTGGGAAATTTTAAGAAAAGCTATCGTTCTTTTGTTTAAATCTCATTTTATATCAGACAATCGAGATTCTCAAATTTTGTTATTTTCTCGATACATTGTTCTACAAAAGTGAAAACTGCTACTACACAGAAAAAACTATACTTAAAATGAGTATCATATGATACTCATTTTGAAGTGCAACAAAAATTATACCCCTTCGACTCATTCTGAGTTTCTGGGGAAAAGACTCAAAATGAGTAAAAAGCGGTATCATTTTGGGTTTATGATAAAATTACAATAACATTGGAATAACTGGGAATAATTCATAAAAATATGAATTAAAATAATTGTTTATAATGAATAAACACTTTGCACTTGTCAAAACATTAATACTTGAAGTCGATTTATCGCATTTATGAGAAATGAAAAACGAATTTTTAGGTTAGACATTTGTGAATTTACTGACAGGGATGGGCAACCATATGTCATTTTACTCATTGTGAGTCACTTGAAGTTGACGATTACTCATTTCGAGTCACTTGAAGTTGCCGATTACTCATTTCGAGTCACTTGAAGTTGTCGATTACTCATTTTGAGACCGACTTCCAAATGTGTTGCAACAAATGTGGGTCGAGTTTTTTTCTGTGTACTAGCTTCTCCGACGGCCGCAAGCGGCCGTCTACGGTGCTAGTTTTTATATGTTCATTGTCCAAGTCCATTATTTCATTAATAATAATATTCAAATTTTTTCAGTTAATAATTTGCTTATTTATATTTGAAATGTTGACGTTTTTTTTGACAATGCAAAATAAGATTTATTATGAGTACTTTCTCTTAACAAAAATAATATTTATATATTCGCGCTCTTTTTAAATAACATACGACTGCAGCGCCACCTTCACATGTACAAACAATTTTAAAAACACCCTTCTATTAAGATTTTACATTCTCATTGCCCATTCTTTACTTCGATACTTTTCGATACATTCGACCTTTCCACTCCATGTCTTTTTTAAGAAAGGATTAAGAAAGGATAGAAAATCTGTCATACAACACTTTAATAAAATAACAAAATAATTATTGAAATTTATTCAATTATTATGTGAATGATTCAAAAGAGAAATCTTATTATATTTATAAATACAGGGAATTAAAAAATTAAGTACCTAAATATAGAAAATAAAGGTATACGAAAACTATTGAAATATAAAAAGAACAATGGAATACAATTCAAGTTAATGTAGGTTACTTTTAGATTATTTTATGAAATAGTAAAAAAATACAGTTTAAAGGTAACTAATGTAATTTTATTTTTAAGCAGTAAAAGTTCAATATATGAAGTTTTTAAAGGAGACAAGAATTTAAAAAATTTTTTTAACCTGCAAAGAAAAATCGAAATGTTTGTCTAGTATTCTGAGAATTAGTAAACTTTCAGCAGAAAATTCAAAATTTCATGACTTTGCCGTTGTTTTAGAGTTCTAGAAAGTAAATTTAAAAAAATATTATATTTAAAAGCTACTAAAAGCTACTATTTCTGTTTTTTTAAATTTACATTACTTTAAATACACTAATACTAGAAATAAAAAAACTATTCTCAAAAATTCTAATCAAATTCTGTACAACGATTCAATTATTTTTGAAAAATATTCCAATTTTCAATTATTTTCATAAATAATACAATTTTCACAGGAATTCAATTAATTTAAAACAGCATTTAAAAACAATTTTAAAAAAATTCAATTTTTTAAAATAATTTTTGATAAAATTCTAATCAAGAATTCAATTATTTCATAAATAATAAATCTTATCAAAGATTTTCAATTATTTTAAATACTAACTTATTTTAATTAATCTAAGAATTCAATTATTTTCACAAATAAAGTTTTCCACAAAAACTCAATTATAAAAAATATTTTCTAATGAAGAATTCAATTATTTTCAAAAATAACAAATTTGTTTATTTAAATTCAATTCTTTTTAAACATTTTAATAAAATTGTTCGCAATAATTCAATTATTTTCGTAAATTATTTTACGGTCTTTCTCGTGATGAAAAACACAAAAAAGAAGTAAAATATAAATAAAAACAAACAAAAACAATAGGTGGCCAACTTAGAACCACTGTAGATTTTTACAAGTTTCAAATTATTACACTAATAAAAAAATTTAATTAAAAAATCAACAGAACCTTTTATTACAACATTCATTAAAAAAAGGAACTAGCGCACACACTCATTAAGAAATTTTTAATTATTTATCTCTTGTAGCTGCTCTCGGAAAAACAAGAAAAATTAAATTTTTTTGGTCGTAAACAATATTATTTTCCTCACAATGCGTAAAAAAATCTTAGATTATAATTAGGTCCATAAATTATATCATGGTTTATCAATATATCATACCACAAAATTATAGATTCGTCCAGTATACCATCTCTGAGAAATGCAGGGTGGCCAACTTAGGCCCACGCTCCCCTATCTATTTAATAATATTATTTAAAATTTTTTTGTTAAATTATTTATAATTATTTATTTATAACTAAGGATCATTTTTCCATTGGGCCGGCCTATGACTTTTTACAAAAATTTATTAGAATATTTTTATCCAGATTTCCGGAGTATTTTAATCGTAGTCGAAAAAGGGTATATAATGGTAGGTACCTATATTATTATAAATTGCTTAACCCCCAACTCCCTTGAAGTCATATCATTTATGGAAGCAGCTATAACAAATAATACAGTAAAATGGGTATTAATTAAAATGTAGGGGAGACTAGGTGTAGTTGTTACAATTTTGATAAAATCAGTTACAGTAATTAAGGCTTAACTCCAATTTGTTTGGTCATACAATTAAATCAAAGGTATATTATCTAGTTTTAAAAGGCCATAATTGATTTAACTCAATATCTATTATTTAATTAACTAGAAGCATTTGAGTAACAGCGTGTAAATTGTAACAACTGCACAAAATGAATGTCGGTTGTTACAATACCGAGAATCATCTATAACATTTCTAAATTGAAGACAAATAATTTCTTAAAACAACTTTTATTAATTATTCATAATTTTTGACTCAACGTAATAGTGCGTGACAGTGTCATAGAGATGGCTGCACTAATATTGTTTCGAAATGAAAAAACTTATAAAAAAATTTATCCATTAATTTTGAAGTCGAATTTAGAAAAAACATGAAATTTTTCATAAAAATTGAGAGTGATTACATTTTTAAAAAATATTTTACATTTCAAACGAATCTGCTGAATTTTGGAAAAAATATCAGTTGTCATCATCACTTGTAACAACTGCACAACAGGTACATTTTTACAATAAATCACTTTATTAGAAAAGTACACACTAAATGTAGACAACCAAGGTAGTTTCTTAAAGATTAATCCTCATAGAAATGATATTAAAAAATTTACTTTTTTAAATATGAAGGTCTATTAATTATTTAAAAAATGTCAAGCAGAGAAATATTTACTTTTGGTCTCTAAAAACCAATGTGCCCATTTTTTTACTTGTAAAGCTTGCATATAATTTTTAAACATATTGCATACAAACTGCACAGCGTTATAACCGCACCTAGTCTCCCCTATAATACACTGTTAGAAAAATCTGTAATACCAGTACACAAAATTTAATATAAATTTTTATTAACCCTCCGTCACACACCTTAGAAAAAATTACGACTTTACACACGTTTAGAGGGAATCCCTCACCACATTGTAAAATAAGCGACATTACAACATAAACAAAAATTTAGTTTTAACACAAACTTACAAATATGTAGTAAATTATTCTAAATTATAAAATTACAGTCGAACCTGGATAAGTGGAACCTCAAGGGACCAAAGTTCTTGTTCCACTTATAGAGGTATTCCACTTATCCAGGTCATTTAAGGTCAAATTACTTGTGCAGGGACTGCAAAGAAAGTTCCACTTAAAGAGGATTCCCACTTATCAAGGGACCACTTATCCAGGTTCGACTGTAATAAAATTAATTTTCGGTCTCAAAAATAAAAATTAATTACACGAATGCACATCTTCGAAGGAATTACACTTTACATGTAAAAATAATGTAACATTAACAAATAAGCAAAAAAATCATTAAATAATTTATTTTAATTATATTTATAATATAATTTTGTCATTAACCAACAGTGGAACAACAAATGTTTTGAAAACTTGATTTTTTTATTTCACATAACCTCACTTTTTCGAGTTTTTTCTGGCTTTGAAGATTTATAATTAAATATTAATTATGTTTAAACTAAATGTTTTTTTTAGAAATGTGTTGAGGAGTAAATTGTCCAAAGGTATAGAAACTGATTTTTAATCCCACATGCACAAAAATGGCGCTTTCTGATAGCAGACGACAGGGAGGAAAGTCATTCATTTCTTCGACTGTATGAAAACGGCCGCCATTTTCATACAAATCGAACAAGTGAATGACTTTCACTCCCTGTCGTCTGCTATCTGAAATCGCCACTTTTGTGCATTATGAATAAAAAATATCGTAAGCAACAAGGGGATAAAGGCAGCCATTTGTTTACGGCGAGTTTTGTGACACGAGTGGAGGTCTCGGGGCGCCCTCGACCTCCACTCGTGTCACAAAAATCACCGTAAAGAAATGGCTGCCTTTATCCTCTTGTTGCTTAATATACTATTATTTTGCAATGAGGAAAACAAAAGTTATATAAAAAATACTGAAACCGTAGAGGGAATCCCTCCCTAGGTGTGTGACGGAGGGTTAAGATATATTTTAAATAATTTTTTTTTTCAATTTTATTATTACAAATTTTTTGTTTCTCATTTTTTAGGTTATTGGGAAATTGTCCCAATACATATATTTTCACAAAATCAATTGCAGAAGGAATTTTAAATGAAAAAGCAAGAGATCTTCCGTTTTTTGTCTTTAGATTTCCAATTGGTGAGCGGAAACTGTAAACAGTAAAGATAAATTTTTGTACAAAACATAATAATAAATAATGGAAAAACAACTATTATTATTATTTTTTGTTTTTTTAATACATATTATTATTATTATTATAATTATTTTTTTTCACGGAGGAGAAGAGGAAATGCATTAACGCATGCCCAGGAAGATCCCACTTACCTGGGGTATGTCGGACTCGCACAAAATGCAAGGAAATAAAAGAAACCTCACATACCTGCTTTTACGGCAGTCACAATACCGACTAAAACCTCTTCTTGATTCCCCTGGGTTTCGAACCTTCTATCCACCTACGGAACTACCTTTCGGCTTCAGACTTCGCAGATGGATGGTCCCATTTAGTCGCTGGCGCGACTCTTCCGTGCCGCTCTTCTTCTGGCCATTATTTTCTCCTTGTTCTTGACAGGGTCTTCTTAGCTTCCTCTAAGGCAGTCCTGAAGACCTTGCACCGACCTGATCCAGCGACGTGTTGGATGTTCTCCTTTTCGCCGAACTTCGCCTTGCATAAGAAGCAGCATGGGCTCTTCTTACAATCTGCTACCTTATGGCCGGCTTCTCCGCACTTGAAGCACGCAGCCGACCTATCTACTGCTTGGCAGTCTCGACCTATATGGCCATAGCCAAGGCACCTGTGGCACCTTGTGACCTTCTACTTCTCTTGTACTTATTCTGCAGGACACAAAACCGATTTTAATGTGCCCTATCTTCTCCAGCTTGTTAGCATCCTCTTGGGAGGTGACCACGACAGCGAGCTTAATACCTCGCTTATTTGGTCCGAGGACCGTCACCTTCCTGCTTCCGGCTGGCACCGTAGATAATTTGTCCAGGGCTTCTTTGACATCCTCCTGTTCGGTAAGGGTGTCCATGTCGCGGATCTGCAGCACAGTCTGCCGATCCGCCATCTGCACCTTACCTAGATCGCCGATCACCTTTGTCACCTCCTCGGTGAATAACTTCCTGTTCGAAGACCCCCCAATTTTAATGAGGAGGTCTCCCTTTTTAATGGTTACAGCTCCCACAACCCTTGTCTGGCTGGCCTCCAAGTCAGCCTCTTTTCGAACCTTCGCCAGCACCTCGGCAAAGGTAGTTCCTTCAGCCACTTTGACGACCATTGTGGCTCTTCCCTTCTTATCTGAAGTTATCTTTGGTGCCGTTTTCATCTCCTTGCCTTTGGATCTTTTAGGAGGTCCCTCCTCCCTTTTCCTTTTTGGATCCTTCGCAAGCTCAGGATCACTTCTCTTTCGCTTCTGAGCATCCAAGACGACGTTTCTCAACACGATCGCGTTACAGCGATCTCGTCTAACTCTACGATCTTGTCTGGCCTCTTCCGACCAAGTCAATCCCTGGTAGAGACTCTCATCTTTTCTGGACGCTGCTGCGTGCTTCTCCTTCACATCCCGTATGAGCGATGTTATGCTTCTAAGTCCATCCTTAATTGTCCTATTGACATTCTTCTGGACTTCGCAGGACTTCAGCATCTTGCTGACCTCTTCTTCCATTTCTAGAATGCTTGCTGCCTCTTCCGCCCGCAGCTTCACGCATTCATCTCGATGTTCATTGCAGCTAGCAATGTCAATCGCAGAAGCATTACTGAATACAGAAATGCAGCTGGCTTGACTCGTCACGCTGCTCGTACTCCCTCGTCTCTCCGCCCTGTCCACGATGATCTGTGGCACTCCCAACGCGTTGTTGCCCTCCTGCATCCTTGGGCCACTGGCCACCGTCCCCACGCTATGCGCTTGACGATCGGAACCAGTGAGGGATTTAGCCGTAGCATTACCCCGCAGGTACTCTTCCTCGTTTTTACAATCGCTCATGATGGATGTTTCTTGTTTGCTGGTTTTGGTCCACGTCGAGTATTTGATTTCCTCGATACCACCTATTTCTAGGAAGCTAACCTATCCGCCACCTGGCACGCGTCCGATAGAGGACCAGCAACCCCGCGCAAAAGAACAGGTTCTAATGCGCCCCGGGTAGAACAAAAGTTCCAATTAGAACAAAAGTTCCAACCGGGCACGGATTATTATTATTATTATTATTATTATTATTATTATTATTATTATTATTATTATTATTATTATTATTATTATTATTATTATTATTATTATTATTATTATTATTATTATTATTATTATTATTATTATTATTATTATTATTATTATTATTATTATTATTATTATTATTATTATTATTATTATTATTATTATTATTATTATTATTATTATTATTATTATTATTATTATTATTATTATTATTATTATTATTATTATTATTATTATTATTATTCGTAAAGAGATTCAGATAAAATGAAAATTTTTAAAAAAAATTTAGCATCGGCAACGTATAAAGAACCCGTGACTGGATGGGTTGATACTATTCAAGGTTTTAATCAACTCATGATGGGATTGGGTCTTGGTGTTATAAGAACATTACTTTGTCCAGATAAAACCGAAGTTATGTACATGGTACCAGCTGATTTTGCTTGTAATGCTTTAATTGCTTCAATTTGGGATACAGAAAATGGGAGGATAAGGTAAATTACATGTTTTTGTCTTTTACTAAATAAGTAGCAATTTTCCTATTTTGTCCTATTTGAAGTAGTTCACAGTAAATTGTAAGATATTTAAAAGCATTTCAGATTAAATTAACATCATAAAAGATTAAAATAATCCATTTTGGTGTTATTTTACTATGAATGTAATTTTACTTCAAATCAAACATTACGAGGGTAAACTCTGTGAAGAGATACCAGGATGCACTCCCATTGCGGAAACTTCCTGCTATCTTGGAGAGACACATCGACCTCCACGTCCGAACATACATCCTTTGAAGCTTAGAACCACGGAAGCGGTAAAGATCACGGCAAGAGACCCAAAATCTTATGAGGGTATCTTGCCGCTGATTAAATCAAAGGTTAAACCAGAAGACACTGGTACCGTGATTAAAAAAATCAGAAGAACCTTTAAACAGGAGGTTCTCCTGATAGTGAAAAAGGGTGGAGAGACCTTAAAATTTGCAGAGAGTCTGTCCTTGGCCCTCCATGGCGAGGCCGAGGCCATACCTCTGGTAAATAAGAGGTCTCTAGAAATCAAAGACCTGGATGAAGCCACTACAGAGATTGAGCTGACTTCAGCATTGAAAGAAAAGCTGGGTAAATCTGACCTGACTATGGAGTGCAAATTATTGCCGCGCTACAGAGGAACTAAGGTTGCTATAATCCGCTTGGCAGAAGCAGAAAGTGACATTCTGCTTAAACTTGGCCAAATCAAAATCGGCTGGATAAATGCTCCAATTCACGAGCATGTTAAAGTAGCTAGGTGCCAAAAGTGCTTAGCCTACGGACACTCTACCCGAACCTGCAAAGGCCCCGACAGAAGCAAAAACTGTCGGAGATGCGGCGGAGAGGGACACCTCGCGAAGAGCTATGCGGTAAGCCGAAGTGCCTTACGTGCTTGGACCTGGGGAAGCCAGAAACGGATCATGATTCCGGAAAGAGAGCCTGCCCGGTTTACAGGAAAGATCTGCAAAAGATTAAAAGGCCAAATCCTTAAAATTTTTGCAGGTCAACCTGCATACAAGTAAGGATGCACAGTTGCTCCTATTGCAAACAGCAAGTGAAAATGAGGTCGATATCCTGTTCTGCAGTGAGCAGTATCAAGGAAGCGATCTCGTCCCTTGGTATCAGGATAAGGCGAAGAGAGCCGCCATAAAGCTGTGCAACCCAGAATTGCGGGTTGACAAGTTTCTGGAGACGAGCAGTGGGTTCGTGTGGATAGAGGTAGCTAATATACGTATGTATAGCTGCTACTTTTCACCCAACGACCCACTGACAAACTTCGAAGCCAATATCGAAGACCTAGAAGCGAGCCTCACAGAATCCAGGCTGGATGTCATCATCACTGGCGATTTTAACGCAAAGTCGCCAGAGTGGGGTGAGACGAGACTCGACAAGAGATGAATTCGTATTAGAGAAATGATCGCCAGAAACGACTTATTATCTGTAAACCGAGGTAATACATGGACTTTTAGACGAGGTGCGATCGGATCAATTATAGATCTAACAATCGCATCGTCTAAACTATTTAGCCGTATAACCGACTGGCGGGTCTCTAAGGAATATACCGCAAGTGATCACCAGTACATTGAGTTCTCAGTCTCGATGGATGACACACGAGGAGGAAAAAGACAGGATGCTCCTAGTCGCAAAACCTCCTCGTGGAATATGAAGAGACTCGACAAGGAAAAGTTCGGCCGGTCCCAAAGAGAAGCCCTTTTAATTGAGGACGGGCTGGGTGAAGAGGCCGAGCAGTCTGAATAGGGAGGTGCGAGCAGTGAGGAACATGATAGTCACCGCTTGCAATGCGTCAATGCCACCCAAAGGCGCCATTCCCGTAAGAAAATCCTTGCACTGGTGGTCAGAGGAGCTAGCCTCCTTGAGGAAGGAATGCCTTAAAGCAGGAAGGACATATACCCGATCAAAGGGAGATCCCTTGCTGAAAGAGGCTTTCAAGGAGGCGAAAAAGAACCTCAAGAAAGAGATCCGCAAGTCGCGACGCCGTAGCTGGAAGGACCTAATCGAGGAAGTCGATAAAGACCCATGGGGTCTGGCTTTTAAAATCGTTACTAAGAAATTAGCGACGAGGCAAAAAAACCCCCGGCCTGGACAATCCCGATTGGGTCAGAAAGATAATAAATTCTTTGTTTCCTCCTGCAGAACCATACCTTAGAAGGGACTGGAGTTTTTGCAAAGTCGAAGAGGAAGAACTCTTCACACTTAGTGGACTGCAAAAAGCAGGCAAAATATTGAAAACAGGCAAGGCACCTGGAATCGATAGGATAAGTAACGAGATCCTAAAGTTGGTTATCAACACTTCACCCCAGATTCTGCTTCGATGTTTCAATCTTTGCCTTGAGAGAGGAGAGTTGTTCCGCGACTGGAAGCGACAGATGTTAGTCCTCCTGAGGAAAGGTGAAAAACCTCTAGATAAAGTCTGATCATACAGGCCTATATGCCTGTTGGATACGATGGGTAAACTCCTAGAGGATATGGTTCTGCAGAGATTGCAAAGCCACTTGACCGGAGAGAATAGTCTATCGGATCACCAATATGGTTTCCGTAAAGGCAAGTCCACAGTTGATGCCATCCAGGCAGTTGTGGACATAGCCAAAGCAGGAAAAATCTGTCCGCGCAAGCGCGGACACATTCTAATCCGCGCTTCGCGCGCAATTGGCTCGCTTCGCTCGCGGTGGTCTGAAATTGTTTTGCATTATTTGTGTTCTTGTTATTATTTCCTATTATATGTTTAATAAAATATTTTTTTTCTTAAAGTTACTACGACTTTAAGGATTACATTCTCATCACATGTTTTTGTTTGCTGATGATTGGGAGATTAAGTGGATTAAAATGTATATTTTTGGTAGAGATGTGCAAAAAGCTCGAAATGTCGATACGAGCCAAGTCCAAGCCGGCTCGATGTATCAAGTACTCAACATTTTCGAGTTCTTGAGTGACTTCAAGCACTCGAAAAACTCGAGTACTCGGGTAAATTCGAGGACTCTATTAAATTTGAGCATTAGAGTGAATTCGAGTACTCAAATATAGTTTTCTATTCCAGCTTTTTACACAGCTTGGCTCGGCTCGAAAAATAAAAAGCTCGAAAAAGCTCGATCAAGATTCGAGCTTCAAGCTTTTTGCACAACTCTAATTTTTGGTCTTGATGATTAAAATTGGAAAGTTATCTTTAATTATACTAACTCTCTTAGCAGAAACATGATTTGCAGAAGCAGCTAAAATATTTTTAAAGTATTATTATCAAGTTGTTGATAAAAGCGAATTTTTATAAAAGTTATAACATTTTACAAAATCAATAACAAATTCTTTAACACAGTTAAGGGCGCGTTCACAAATGATGTCACGCAATTTTTCGGGATTTTATACCCCCCTACACTGTCACGCTACTTCATGCAATTTCACTTGCAAAAATACATTGTGTCACGTTTAGTAGAGACCCCTCCCCTGCCCCCAAAAACGTGACATCATTTGTAAACGCTCCCTAAGCTGACTGACCCAAAAACTTTTAAAAAAAGTAGTTTCTGACGAAAATAGCTGGTTAACGAACTTGGCCTTTATTTTTGCACCAACTTTAAGTGTGTTAAATTTAAAAACGATCGGATAAGTTTTTCAAGAGTTATCGTGGGAACAAAATTTTTGGTCTACAGACAGACAGACAGACGAACAGACAGACACCATCGCCGGACCATGTTTTTTGGGTTCAGGGGACCCCAAAACGTCGAGATTTTATGAAATTAGCAAAAGTCAAATTTCGACCAAAACTAATACTTTCTCATATGATGAGAATGTAAAAAACAAATTGGGACCTGGAAAAAAGAAGAGCTTCTGCGCGTTGGTAGCAATTGACATACGCAACGCGTTTAATTCCGCAAGATGGAAAGATCTCACCGAGTCGATGAAAAAGAAAAACATGCCGCCCTACTTGTTGCGGATAATGGATAATTATCTTAGCGACAGGCGACAGGCGGACTCCGTGAACAAAAACGGAGACTGGTGGCGAGTGTCGCCCACGCTAAAATGCTCTATGCAGCACCAGCGTGGGCCCCATCCCTGAGGAGTAAAAGATGTGTGACCATCTGTGAAAAGGTACTGTCGGCGCAGAGATCGATAACAACGCGTATCATCTCTGCATATAAGACGGTATCTACGAGTGCTGTGCAGGTCACGGGTGTTTTAATTCGTACCTGTGTCGCTTTAAATTACGCGAGGATGAGGTGTGTGCATATTGCCAGTTCCCTGAGGACAACGCGGAGCACACCCTCTTCTCATGCAGAAAATGGGACTTGGAGAGGGGGCCATGTTCGAAGGTGTAAACAGTCAAGTTACACCGGAGAACATGGTATCGCTGATGACCCAGTCAGAAGAGAATTGGCGGCAAGTCGAGAACTTCATAATCTCGGTTATGTCGAGGAAGGACCTCGACGGCCGCCAAAAAAGCGTAATTTAAACAGCTTTTAAATTTGTTTGTTCGTTTCTTATTAATTTATTTTGTGATTTAATTGTCCTTATACATTGTTTAATTTGTTTTGTGTTTTTTATTCGTCTTTGTACAGTTTTGTCTTTTCAACATTATAAACGTGTTTACTTTTTTTTTCTTTTCTTTTTTATATTCGTTTACAATTTTATCTTTTGACTTTTAACACTTCTTAAACAATTTTTTTTTATTATTGTTGTGCTGTAAATTATTCCGCTTTGAGTATGAAATAGTTTTAATCATTTTTTTTTAACTACGGACGCAGGAAAACCGCAGAGAGAAGAAGATAGTCGCATTAGCGACAGAGTTGGAGTGCCACCCTCGAAGGCTAAAGTTTTACGACAGTTCCGAGGGAGGGTAAAGGGCTCCAGAAGAAGGGTTACGGGTTTTAGTGGGTCGGGCTGGTAGTAGCCAGTTTATTAAATTTATTATAACATTTATTTATTTATTTTTTTTTAATATTTTCTTTTGTTTTATTTTACCAACCCCACATAACCTTGGAGTGCGGAATCCGCAAGGTATCTGTAGGCAGATTTCCCAAAAGTCCCTAAGCAAAAAAAAATTAAACATTACTTACTTACTTATTTACTTACTTTATAGACATTGTAAAGGAAATATATAAAATACACATGAAAAAAATAAATAAAGAATTAGGTACAATAAAAATATTATAAAATTTATTAATTTTCACAGATCTTCCGAAACTGACGTACCAGTTTATACTTATGTAAATGGAAATGAAAATCCATTTACCAAAGCAGAGTTTGAAAGAATCGCATATTCCGCAAAGCCTGATTTACTTCCATCCAAATTGCTTTATTATCCTGAAACAATTATAGCTCGCTCACCACAAGTATTCGCAGTTCTTGATTTCTTCTTTCATCTTTTGCCTGCCTTATTTGGTGATATTGTTTTTCGAATAATGGGCAAAAAACCCATGTAAGTTGCAATAATTGAACCGCCGGATCGTAGAAGGGCATATAGCCAATGTAATTCAAATGGGCTATATGCCCTTCTACGATCCGGCGGTTCAATTTATGAGAAAAATTGAAAACATTATTATGTGAAAAAACAATTTGCATTTGTGAAGAATCGAAATCCGGCCCTTCCTGCTCTTGAGAGTCTAGTAGTCCATGTGAAAGAATTTCTGGAAATTTACGGAATTTTTCCGGAAATCCGTTTAGGAAGTTTTCCGAAAGTCTCTTCTGGAAATCCTTCTACATGGATAAATAAATATTATTTGTATTAATATACATATAATAATTATTTTTTTTAATTTTCATATTTAAATTATAGATTCTACAAAATCTATAAAAAGGGAGTGAAATTTTTCAAAAGCACTGAATTTTTCTCAATGGGAACATGGACGTTTGAAAATAAGAGAATTGAATTACTGTGGGAAAAGTTATCAAATGAAGATAAAGAATTGTTTCCCTTCGATATGAAAAATATTGTTTGGAGTGATGTTATATTGGAATACTGGAAAGGAGTCTTAAAATATATATTAAAAGATGATTTCACTCCTGAAAATCGACGACAGGCAAAACGTCGATATTATTTGTAAGATAATTTCTCAATTTATATATTCTTTTTTATTATGAAATATTTTTATTATATTTTACTGCGAATTTCTTTTTACAATATAAATGTGGTGATTGAGAACTCTATTTATTTTCAGTTTACTACTTTTACATCGAACTATTCAAACACTGTTTGCTGCCTTTCTATTTTGGTTTTTATGGAAATTGTTTTAGTATCGAATTAATTATTTACTTGAATAAATTTAATTGTCGAAATAAATGTTTTATTTCACATGCACAAAAATGGCGCTTTTAGATAGGTGACGACAGGGAGCAAAGTACTACGCCAGTGCTGGCGGCTACATTGACAGTCAACACTGGCATGATAACGAGGAGGGCCTCTGGCGAAGTACTGCCTGTCAGTGCTTCCAGACAGCGCTGCCGCAGTACTGGTCCAGTGCTAATATTGATAAATAGTTATTATTCATAAAATGTTTCTTTTCTTCATTTAATAGTATCAAAGATAAAGACCTAGCAATGGAAATAATAAATAAATTAGAAAAAAATTGTTTATAACATTTAAAAATTAAATAACAGGCAATTACGGTATGTGCGTATTAGATTTCCATATTTTAGTACCTAATGATTAAAATCTAGAAATATCGCAATCCTATGAAAATAAACATAATTGCTTACGAGGGGAATCGAATCTACGACCTACAAACTTATAGACTAACGCTCTAACCACTATGCTAATGACGCGTGTGTGCAGTAAAGTTTTAATTTCTCAATATCATTCATACTTATTATTATTAAATCAAAGATGAGAAAAAATATAGATTCGTTAGAATAATAATAAATTGAAATAAAATATATTAAACTAAGATTTTAATTTTTAAATTAACTAACTTCACTTATTGTATTTAAATGCAATAATTAGTAATTTTTAAATATTTTTTTATTTATAATAAGAAGTATAATAAGATTTTAATGAGAGCCAAATTATTGTTAAGATGAACATTAAAATTTTGTATATAATTTAAATTTTTTTAATAATTTACTATTCACAAAATTATAGTTATGTTAAATTATTAGGTATTATTATTAAAATTAATAAAAATAAGAAATAAATAATTGAATAGTAAATATTAGCTTTTTTCAGTTAATTTATATTTATAAACATTCGTACATTTTTTTATCATTTCTTTCAAGTTTATGTAATAAAAAGCAATATTGGCAAAGAAAGTTGTGAACAATTTTGCTATACTCAGCCGGTACTTGCAGCCGAGGCCTGTCTGAGCTTTGGCGAAACAAAAATTCTGTACTCCGATAGCACTAATTTATTGTCGAGGCTTGGCTGGACTACGGTTGAACAATCGGCTTAGCACTAAGCCAGTGGTAAACATCGGCACTACACTGTCATTCACCATTGGGTGGGAGAAAATGAACGCCATGTTCATACGATTTAAACAAGTGAATGACTTTTTACTCCCTATCGTCTGCTATCGAAAATCGACATTTTTGTGAATTTGGAATAAAAAGTATCGTAAGTAACACGGGAATAAAGGCAACCCACTTTGTTTACGCTGATTTTTGTGACACTCGTTTCGGTCTCGATGCGCCCTTGACCTCCACTCGTGTCACCAAACTTACCGTAAACAAATGGCTGCCTTTATCCCCTTGTTGCTTAATATACTATTGTACATAATTTATTCTCATTTTTTATTATATATATATATTTTATAATATTATCTTTAGTGTAAATACACATAATGTAGCGTTTTTTTAGAAACAATGTACTAAATTTGTTACTCATCGCAGAATATATAAATAATTTAATGATATTCCAAATTAACAAAAGTGTTTGTAAGAGGTCACAATATTTTTTCTGCTAAAAGTAGAAACTGACTTTTCGAACAGACAACATATTTAAAAAAAGTGAATAATTAGACTCATTTTAAAAAATTTTATGTTTTATACTTACAATTATGTAGATAACTGAAATAATAAATTATAATTTTTAATATAATTGTAATAAAATAATAATTATTAGTTAAAAATGTAATTAATTATATAATTAAATATTAATCAGTAAATAGTTATTGAATAAAAAATGTATTGAATATTGGAGGAAATAATATGGAAATAAGATAAAATTATAATTTAATTAAAATTGAAAAAATCAATAAAAACTGCTTAAAAATTATTTAGTATTCAATATCAACATTTAAATATTTAGCATTCGAAAAATAAAAGTCACTCCTTGAGTCATTTAACAATGATTTGTATTTATATTCAACAATCATTATCGCTCAGTAAAATTTTGCACTTAGTGGAGTACACAGTTATTTTTATTTATTAAATAAATTTCACAATGTCGGAAATTCAAGAATTTTTTGAAGGCCAACATTTCTTCATTACAGGTACCATTTATTTATTATTCTATCTAAACGAAGCTATTTTGTTTTTTAGTGATAGTTTTATGTAACTATTTGACAATTTTTCTGTAGTTCAATTTTTTTCATTCAAATAACATTACAATTTTTTTATCATATGTGGTAAAAATTTAAAAAATAACTCGATAGGTGGAACAGGATTTATTGGCAAAGTTTTAGTGGAAAAACTTTTACGTTCTTTACCAAAAATTGGAAAAGTTTATCTCTTAATGAGACCGAAAAAGGGTAAAGATATTCATGAAAGATTTAATAAATATTTTAACATTAAAGTAAGTATACCAAAGTTAAAACTTTAATTAATTAATAAAATAATTAATCTAATTTAAATTAACTTAATTTTGTAATGATTTATTTTTCGCCAGTTGTTTGATTCTTTGAAAGAGAAAGATTCTTCTGCAATAGGGAAAGTTATTCCATTAAGTGGAGACGTAACGAAGCCTAATTTAGGATTATCAAATGCAGATCGTACAAAATTAATAAATGAGGTATTATTCCTTCACTGTTGAGTGCTATTGCAAAAATTTTCGAGGGCCTTGTATTAGATTCGGTATATGCTGCGGTTTCTAGCATAATTATTGATGAATAGCATGGATTTGTACAGGGACGTTCTACCCTAACAAATCTTGCTTTGTTCACTAATTTCATAATTTTGAATATGGAAAAAGGTTATCAAACTGATGCAGTATATTCTGACTTTTCTAAGGCCTTCGACAAGGTAGATCACCGATTGTTGTTAAATAAGCTGCGGGTTATGGGTGTGTCTGACAATTTGGTTTCATTTTTTGAGAATTATCTATCTGAAAGATTTCAATCCGTTAAGATTAAATATGACTATTCTGATCCGTTCTTATCTACTTCTGGTGTACTACAGGGGTCGAACTTGGGACCACTTTTGTTTGTCATTTACATGAATGATATTAGGCAAGTATTTAAAAAAACTTTTTTCTTATTGTATGCTGATGACCTTAAAGTATATAAATTGATTGATTCTATTAATCCTGACTCTGATTCATTTGATTTGCAATCAGATTTGGATCGTTTAGAGGATTAGTGTAATAAAAATCATATGTTTGTAAATATGAATAAGAGTTCAGTAATATCTTTTTCCAGGAAGAATACATTCATGTATTGCTACAATATTGGTCGGAAAGAACTTGTAAGAGTGACTAAATTGAGTGATTTGGGAGTACTTTTGTGTAATAATCTCAGTTTTGATGAGCACATATCTGCAATCATTTCTAGGGCTTTAAAATGTTTGGGGTTTGTTATGAGAAATGCATCAATTTTTCATACTGAAAATGTGCTTAAAGTTCTCTATTTCTCTCTTGTGAGACCAATATTAGAGTATGCTTCTATAATTTGGGTACCATTTTATACAATCTACAGAGTAAGAATAGAACGTGTTCAGAGTAGATTTTTTCAATTTATAGCATGTCAACTTCGTATACCTTTTGACAGATACAGCCATGATTATAGTAGCTTACGTATTCTTTTGCAGATACCTTTGATAACATCCAGATTTCTATTTAATGACATGACCTTTTTATACAAAATTTTAAATGGTAAAATTGATTGCACATTATTATTGTCATTGATTAAATTGTCAGTTCCCATTCGAGGAACCAGAAATTTTACGTTATTTTTTAAATCTTTTCACAGAACTAATTACGGATGTCATTCGATATTTAATAGACTTAGTAGAGAGGCTAATGAACTTCCTAATTGCATCGACTTTTTTGATAACAATTTTACTAGATTCACCACATTATTACGTAAAAATATACTAAAATCATTGTAGTAAGGTCGGCTTAGTTAATATAAATTAGATAAGTTACTTGTATGTTACAAGATTATGTAACTTTTAGTTTTATGAATATTTATGTATGAAAGGGCAAGACCCGTTTATAATAAAATGAAATAGTGAATTAGCTTCAAAATTCATTTCTAAATTCAAATTGAACAAATATCATAATAAAAGATAATTTCCACGTTACGAAATTTAATTAGGAGAGACTAGGTGCAGTTGTCACAATTTTGATAAAATCAGTTATAGTAATTAAGGCTTAACTCCAATTTGTTTGGTCATACAATTAAATCAAAGGTATATTATCTAGTTTTAAAAGGCCATAATTGATTTAGCTCTATATCTATCCTTTTCCTTTTTTATAATATTAACATATTCGTCGTCGTTTTGTCGTCCGTCGATCGTGTATTTTCGTACTTCATCGTTCAGTCGTTCGACTTTTATCATTTATTCATCGTATAATATACATCCTTTCTTAAAAAAGACAAGGAGAGGAAAGGTCGAATGTATCGAAAAGTATCGAAGTAAAGAATGGGCAATGAGAATGTAAAATCTTAATAGAAGGGTGTTTTTAAAATTGTTTGTACATGTGAAGGTGGCGCTGCAGTCGTATGTTATTTAAAAAGAGCGCGAATATATAAATTTTATTTTTGTTAAGAGAAAGTACTCATAATAAATATTATTTTGCATTGTCAAAAAAAACGTCAACATTTCAAATATAAATAAGCAAATTATTAACTGAAAAAATTTGAATATTATTATTAATAAAATAATGGACTTGGACAATGAACATATAAAAACTAGCACCGTAGACGGCCGCTTGCGGCCGTCGAAGGAGCTAGTATATAATAATACTCATTGTATACATATATATACGCATGCGCAGTAGTGTTCTGTCAATGTCAGGCATGCGCAGTAGTGTTCTATCAGTATCAAGCATATGCAGTAGTGTTCTATCAATATCACGCATGCACAGTAGTGTTCTATTAGTATCAAGCATGCGCAGTAGTGTTCTATTAGTATCAAGCATGCACAGTAGTGTTCTGTCAATGTCAGACATGCGCAGTAGTATTCTGTCAATGTCAGGCATGCGCAGTAGTATTCTGTCAATGTCAGGCATGCGCAGTAGTGTTCTGTTAATGTCAGACATGCGCAGTAGTGTTCTGTCAATGTCAGGCATGCGCAGTAGTGTTCTATTAGTATCAAGCATGCGCAGTAGTGTTCTATAACGCATACGCAGTAGTGTTCTATCACTATAACGCATGCGCAGTAGTGTTCTGTCAATGTCAGGCATGCGCAGTAGTGTTCTATCACTATAACGCATGCGCAGTAGAGTTCTATCATTATTACGCATGAGCAGTAGTGTTCTATTACTATAACGCATGCGCAGTTGTGATCTATCACTATAAAGCATGCGAAGAACATTCAGAACTTCAAAATTAAATTTTTTAATCCATACACAATCCAAAAATTATTTTTCTTCAATAAAAAATTTCCAAAGCCCAAAATGTTCAAAATATGAAATTTTCAAAATAAGAAGTGTTAAATTGTAATGTAAGTTAAAACAATTAGATTATAGAGTATTCAGATTTAACAATTCTATTTCTGTGTAAGATATTTTTTAAAAAATATTATTGTCAATGTTTTACAAAAGTTTAAATAACTTCTAAAAACATGATAATTATAAGCTTATAAGCTTAAGATCATTAAAAGTGTTCATGTTTTTAGAAGTTATTTAGTGTTTATTTACTCTCCCTACTACTGTAGGGTTCGAGACTCCAAAAAATACATTGTTCCTTAACCTAAAATACAAATAATTCCTTATTACTAACGCACTTATATCTACGCAACTTATTTACTAATCGCCATTATTTATTATTCTTATCTCTACCAATGTGCCCGGGCTTTCGTTTCCCGTTCCTTTTGCCTTTTGGCTTCATCCGAAATTTTTTTTTTTTTTTTTTTTTTTTTATTAATAAAATGAAGAGAACCATTATTCCGTTCTACAAAAAATAAAAAATTCCCTCCCCATTTTACATTACCCCAATCATTCTTCCCTTTCTTGCTTCTTCCAATCCAAACATCCATTTTTCACCTTGTCCATTTTCGTTCAATATCCAACTCACTCTTTCACCCACACTTTTTTCATCCATTCCTCCTCCCACACATCTTTCCAATACATGCGCCCAATCTTCTCTTTCAAACTCACATATTCTACACTTCTTTTCCCCCTCATCCATCCAATATTTACATTCATTCACACCTTCCCCCATTCTAAATTTACACACTCTGCTCCACCTCTCTTCCTTCCTAATCTTTTCTAAATACTTCGGCATTTCCTCCCCCCTTACCATCCTATACCATTTGTTATACCGCGACCCCTCTATTCGTTCCCACCTTTCCTCAGAATCTTTTCTTTTCCATCCCTTTATAAACTCCTGCCCTCCACTCCATTTTATTCCTTCTTCCAATGCTACCCTTCTGTCCCTTTCCCACTTCGATCCCCCTTTTCTTTTGACTTCCTCCTCATCTTTTATAACTTTGTAGCATTTTCTCGCCAAACAACTCCCTCTTCCTTGTTTTAATTTTTCCTCCATTCCCATTACCCTTTTCCTTTGCCTACACACCAATTTCTCCCTTCCCAATTCTTCCCTCAACATATATCCCGGGCAATTCCAGCTTACCCCCATCGTCCATCTTAAAAACCTTTCATGCATTCTTTCCATTTTTCCGATTTCATTCCATCCCCATATCTCCACCCCATAACTCATTACCGACCATACCAACACATCAAACAACCAAATTCTCCTCCTCCAGTCATCCTTGAATTTTCTTTTCCCAATTCCCCACACTTGACCCATTACCCTTCCTGCTCTTTCCACTCTCATTCTTACATTCATATCCGCTCTTCCATTATAACTAAACCAATATCCCAAATAACAAAATTCATCCACCTCTTCCACTATCTTTCCATTCATCTTCCATATCTCATACTCCTTTCTTTTTCTCTTTCTAAATCTTAATACTTTTGTTTTATCCACATTCACGCTTAAATCTTTTTCCCTTACATACTTGTCAAACTCGTTCAATAATAATTTCATTCCATTCACTTCCTCCGCCATCAAAACAACATCATCCGCATACGCTAACGAAAATATCCTCTTATTCCCTAAAATAACACCGCCTTTACCCCTTTTATACATTTTCTCCTCCAAATCAGACATCAATAAATTAAATAGCAATGGACTCAGAGGGCAGCCTTGCCTTAACCCTCTTCCCAGCCAAAATACTTTTCCCAGTTTCTTCCCAATTTTTACCCTTGTAACGTTGCAATTTTACTCTTTTAATTTTGTCCTCGACCATGGTGGAAAAATGTGAAGCTCTCCTTAAAATTCTATATTTTGTAATTTAAATGAGGAGAAAATTATAATAAACTGTACAAAAATTATCAATGCAATAATCAATTTAAAGCAATTCATAAATAGATACATCTCATGGATCCAAGAGCAATCCAAATTTAAATATTACTTGTCACTGCCTTTCAATAATGTTTTCAGCCTATCAAACTCAGCTAATTTGGCGCGGAGGTACTATTTGCAATTGACTCTCAGTTGGAGCGAGTAGAGTCAGGAGAAACAGTTTGAGGATGAAGCAGACCGGGACCACCAATAATAATTGTTATAATTATTATTTTGTTTATTTCACTGCTCCATTCGGTCCGAGTTGCACATATATCCAAGATTAATTGTTCTTCATTTAACTTGTACAACGCGCCTGTGAGGCTGCGACCTGTTAATCCTATAAGTACGAAAAAGGTAATTTTCATACTTATCGGCAGGGTCACCACCACATGGGTTTTGAATAGGCGAATTAGGCGAGAAAAATGTATAGCACGGTCTTCATGTTTTGACTGCCATGGCCGACGCTTAATTATACAGCGGTAGTGAAAGTAATAATTGTTTAAAAGGAATAATAAAAATATATAAAAGATTAAAGTTGACTTAAATAAGTTAGAAAAGACTCGCCGGAAATAAATTGGAATGGCGGTAAGTCAAAGTGTCAATAAAGAACTTTATTAAAACTAAATCAAAAATAAAACTCTTGGATGCTTGAATATTCTATAATTATCGAAACTCTATTATTTTCTATTTTGTTAATGTAAATTACTGTTCTTTTCTTATTAGAATAAATCGAATTGTGTGTGATATTAAATTTAACTTTGTGTTTACTTATTTATTTAATAAAAGTCATCCTACGAATCCACTTGGCCGGGTAAAATAAAATTACATAAATATGGCAAATAATTGATTTCTAAAGCCAGGCGCTCACATTTAATTACCAAGATCGCCTTTATTTCCTGTCAATAGTCGAGTGGTCCCTAGCTCGATTTAAAGTCAATTAAAATTTATTTATAATTATTAAAAGAGTGATTGACAGGTTATAAATGGCGCCCAACAATTAGTGGATGACTTAGGGAAAAACACACAGTTCGAATTCTTCGAAAATTGCTCACTGCATATTTCTGTTTCTATTATTTGCATGCAATGTTCCTTTCAAAACTTTCCAGTGCCGTCTGCTATTTCTATACACAAAATTTTGTTAATTGTATAAATTTTCGCAATAATTATTGATCCACAGTGAGATCCCCTCACCTTAACGAGAAGAGAATTTTTTTTCAATCATAAAACATACAAGTTCTCTAATCGTTAACCTGAAAATAAGTAAAATCTCACGAAAACAAAAATTGCGAAAAACATGTGCTCGACCGGAAGTCCATAAGCCAGAGCGAGATCGATCCTCTCCGTCACTCTACAGCAACAGGTTCCCCTCACACGCGCCACTCCAGTCTATTTCTCTCTCTCTCGCTCTACAGCGCAACATAGAGAACAGCACTCACGGACAGTTACAGCCATATTGGAAATATACCACCACCCGTTTACAAGCGCGCAACGCAGAACACTCGATCGCGACGTGAACGGAATCTCAGCTCTTCCGACATCTTGAATCGTCCTCCCTCTGCGCACTACAACGGCGTTCCACTCTCTCGCCTAGCACATGTT